TAGTGAAAATAACAGATAAAATATATTTTTTTTCCTTAAGAAACGTTTGATAACTATCTGGACGAATTAAAGATTTCGCATGTGAAATTTGAAAATTTTCTGATGCATAAAAACATTTTTTAATCTTAAAATGAAAATTACTTAGCATGTTGGATAGGTAAGAAGTGAAAAGAAAAAAAAAGGTATGAGAAATTCTGCTTAACAAACCTTAATAATTAATATTTTGCGTTGGAAAGCATTGTAACATTAACTGATAATCTGCCAAATTTCGTTAACATATGCTTACAAATTTAAAAGTTATAGCATGGAAACTATAACAAGCACACAATGGTTACGAGGTCGATCCGACGGACCGAGCCAGTGTTGAAAGAGTTAATAATTAAACAAATATTGGAAATGAAAGGTTAGCACTTAGGTAATACCACAGTTTCTGCAGCAGTAGGAGAAAACCACTGCCTAAATATCAGTATGAAACTGCAGTATAATTTATCAACCTCACTGACATCTTTGGACAAGTTTTCTAAATGACAATTTTTAATAAATCACAGACCAAGTATTTCAAACGACTGACCCGAAATAGTTTTATTAATGTGAAGAAAAAACTTACAGCGATGCAGAAGTCACAACATCCACATTCATCCTTGTAAGTACCGCATTGACAACTGCTGCCATCTATTGGACATGAATTCTTTTCACACGGACCTTCACAATGCATAGGACTGGTGCTTTTCGCTCTGTTTATAAAATATGAGATAATTTTAAACCAAATGAGGTCGATTAAAAGTTATTGAATTTTACGTAATATTTATGACTTGTTAGAAATGCTTGTAGGAAAACAGAAAACGTTTTTTTAAATAAGAAAGGCTGAAAAATCTTTCACCAATGAACTAACTAGTCTTTACAGAATCCCCCGGTGGCACAGCGGCTATGTCTGCGGACTTACAACGCTAAAAGCCGGGTTTCGATACCCGTGGTGGGCAGAGCACGGATAGCCCATTGTGTAACTTTGTGCGTAACTTCAAACAAACAAACTTTACAGAAGATACTTGATAATTATAAGACGATTTATATTGCCCAGTATGAATACCCGATTACAAAAGACTAGAAAAGATATTTACATTAATTTATTTCGTTCAATAAAGAATTAAGAATGATAATTGGATAATAAAGTTGATATAGTTTATGCTTTTAAGACTCCTGGAAACAGAACTTGAATTTTGACTTTATTCTTGGGAACTTTAAAACACGCTACTCTTGAAACTATGATTTCAAATGTGAGTGTTAATACATAATGGTAATATTGAATATGAAAACGTAATCCTAGCGACTATAACTGAATACTATAGGGCAGTACGTTGGCTTCATTAATTCTACACTCTTTTGATTTTTTAGTTTCACTAAAAAATTCTGATCAATGATGTTGACTTATTTCGTTGATGCTGTGCTTGTTTGACTGGTTCGCCAGTTCGGAATAATGAACTGGATAATTCAAGAAAACAATATTTGATAATGTATGATGTTAAATAATCGTTATCCTAATTATGTTTAGCGCTATTAGTTTTCCAATATTTCACTGGCTTTCGGCGTTTAAATTGTAGCTTTTAAAGTATTATACTACATATATAAAAGCGTTTCATAGAATCTCGTCGTCCAGCCCAACTGATGAGAAAGCATAGCGGGCAGTGACTTGTGAAAGATAAATGATGTTGTGTTTTACAGTCCTCTTACTTCTAGCCGAAATGGACAAACTAAGAGGAACTTGAAAAAAAGAAAAAACGTCTGCAGTTAAGTTGTTTTCATAGCAGTTGTTATGCCTATTGTTTTTTTATGAATATTTCTCCGGCTTTCGGCATTTAAACAGTATCTTTTAAGATACACGAAACTTTCTTCGAAAATAGTGTAATTTCAATCTTACTAATATATTACCATGTTAAATATTTTGCAGACTTTCCATCTACTTGCTCCTAGTGGGTTAGCCGTAAGTCTGAAGGCTTAAACGTTAAAAACCGGGTTTCCATACCTGTGGTGTCCACAGCAAAGACAGCCCATTATGTAGTTTTGCGGTATGAATGTTTTTAAATTTGTTTTGGTATTAATTTAAAGTTCTCAGAATAGACTAATGAACAACATTGTGGGCTTTAGCTTTGGCATTAGCTTTGCATATGAAATTTGCAATTAAATCTGATAAATTTTAAATCAGATCGGTGTATTAGTTTTATTTCAGTACATATATCTTCCATTAAAATACATATTTTATAGCTTTCAGTATTTATGGTATAACCTAGTTTTACCTGTCCGTCCTATATGTTTCATACTGTATTTTTTACTTGCTGTATAGCATTTAATTACACAATTTCTTTTGCATTATATATTACTTTTATAAAGTTGTTTTGAATATTTGTAAACAAAAGAAAATGCATATATATATATTTGCATGTATTTACTATTTGATATTGTATTGTTGAGTTTTGAGAAAAGTACTCGAGGGTTATCTGCGCTAGTCATCCGAAATTTTACATTTTGAAGTGATAGACAAGAGGAAGGGCAGCTAGTCAACACCATCCACCACTATTTAGTGGGCTACTCTATTCAAATATTGTGATGTGACCGTCATTGTTATAATGTACCCACGGGTCCAAAGTACAGAGAGTATTTTTTTTTCTATCTCTTTGACAGTAACGGGTTGTGAACATCGGAACCTCCAATACGCAGTCCGACACGTTAACCATTTATTTATTTTTTCAAAATAGATGTTAATTTGCTTTCTCTAGGTGAAATGAGAAACATAAATTCATAAATTTGCAGTTTTTCAGTATTTTGCTCTAACCGCATAAAGCTAATTTTCTTGAAATGCTTAGTGATCATTCTATAAATTAAGATGTATTTATCCGTTTTCAAAGCCCTGCTCCCGGTGGCTCAGTGGTAAAACTGAGGGCTAATAACGCTAAAAATCGGGTTTCGATACTCATGGTGGGAAGATCACAGATAGCCCATTGCATATCTTTGTGCTTAACAACAAACAAGTCTTCGAGGCCCCCTTGTGGCTCAGCGGTAAGCTTCACGGCTATAAAGCTAAAATTCTGGAAAAGATCCATGTGGTAGGCACAGTACAGATCGCGAAACTTTGCGCCTAGCAACAAACCGAAACGTTCTCAAACATTTCACTTACGCTTTAGATATGTTTAGGATTATCTTATATTACAAGTTAAACAAAAAATATTCTTCACATAAGTCATTTTTGTACATTTGTTAAAATTAGTAGAGATCAGTATAACTTACCCATAAACTAGTAGAGTTAGTAGTAGGGCTACAAACATCGTCTTCATCATGATCCACTGTCTTAAAGGATTATATACAAAGTAAACATCATATTAACTGACAGAAAAAACAACAACAACTAATTATTATCATTTCTTTCAAAAAGCCGAAAAGTAAATGAAAAAAAAAAGTATTATATTTTACTTTTAAAATTGCAAACAGTGCAGACTAAGATTAAGCTAAGAACAAAATGAGTAGATTGAATGTGATACTTCTTTTTTTTGTATGAAAGATTTCCTTCTCTAGCCTTAGCATGACAAGTATTTTTATCAAAAGTAAAGATTCATGTATATGAGGTTTTGGTCACTACTCATTTGGTTGTCACTTTTTGTAAAACATAATATTTTACTCTAAGTATGAAGGTTTTATAATAGTGTTGAATAACTATTTTCAAAAATCTCTTTTCGACTAGCTGTCTATAAAGCCATAACATGTTTTTCTAAGTGTTTTTCTAACTTCGCGCAAAGCTACACGAGGGTTATCTGCGCTAGCCGTCCCTAATTTAGCAGTGTAAGACTTGAGTGAAGGCAGCTAGTCACCGCCAACTCTTGTGCTACTCTTTTACCAACGTCACATTATAATGCCCCCACGGCTGCAAGGGCGAGCATGTTTGGTGTGACGGGGATTAGAACTCGCCACCCTCAGATTGCGAGTCGAGCGTCCTAACCACCTGGCCATGACGGGCCACTTTACTAACATAGACATACAGAAATTATGAGTATCATCAGTCATGCCAGTTTCCGGAGTTCCATATAATACACATGGCCTATAAAGTTTCTAGAATTTATACGTTTTATCACTAAGAATTGGAAATGACTTAAAACAAAATAGAAAAAGCTGCTAAGTGAGACTTTTTTTCCCCTTTTAAAACTGAAATGTTGGTAAAATTATGGGTTAATTTAAAACTAGTCAGACTAGTAATATGTAAAAAAACTTTAACTGGTATTAGTAATAAGAAAGTGGTAAATATACAATAAGCAATTTATCAAAGTACGAAAACTTAATTTTCACTAAAAGACCTGACTGAACGATTATAATGGTGGTGTCTTTCTCACTTCCACTATATTCTTATTTATAGTATCATCAGGGGTGAAATTGTGTCAAAACTTGCCGGTACTGGGTACCGAAACTTATTTTTCAAGGCGGTACTAGTACCGGGACTCATTTGATCTGATTTTTCGTTTTTTATGTTTACACATACATTTTATTTTATTTTTTTCAATACCCCCCCCCCCCAGTGGCACAGCGAGCGATATGTCTACGGACTTACAACGCTAGAAATCGTGTTTCGATACCCGTGGTGGGCAGAACACAAATAGCCCATTGTGTAGCTTTGTGCTTAACTTCAAACAAACAAATCTTTTTCAATAACAGGTCCACTTCACCCAATTAAGTACCTCTACATTTTTGAGAATTTCCCCACTGAATATTAGTGGATATTTTACTAAAAAGATATCACTGAACGCGTATTATAAGGCATTTCCCTTTTACATTGTTAAAGACATAATTATTGTTCACTGAAGGGTTAAACACAATTCTTATAACGAGTTTTCGACTGCGTTTATTCGTAGTTCTGAAAACTCTTCATGTGTTTCTACATACAAATAATGAACAACAAAAAGAAGACATAAACGGACGGTTTGCTCAGGTATTGCACATTTTAATAAGTAAATGAACTCCACAGGATGCCCCCCTCACAACCACCCAAAAAACAAAACAAAAACAGTTTATCAATCTTTATTATACATCATCACGAACATGTAGCGCCACCTTTAAAAAATGTTCTGCATGAAAACGTCTGCAACTATACCGATTTGAAAACAAATTTCACTCACCTTTCTTATTTAATTGTTGTTGAGAAGAAACTAAATGTGTAGGTTTAATTGTTCGTAAAGAAACAGCAGTTTCATAATTATGCTACAGAGGTCAAATGTCAAAATACAAGTTTTTTACATAGACAAAAAATATATGTATTTGTATGTTTAATTAATATAGTATATCGCTTAGGTAAAAAATAAAGTTAAATGGAAAGATACGAGTAACAAATTTATTTACTCCCAAAATACTGCATACTCTTGATCTAAAAACAACCTGGAAAAAATCTATAAAATTAATTATGTATATTGTTCTACCGTTGAATTCTGGGGATACATATTTACCTCCGTAAACAACTGTAACAATGAATGACTTAAAATTAATTATACACCATATCCAACTTCATTTAGATTCGCTGAAATAATATAGTAGCTGGAAAAAAATATTTTGGAGTAATAACAAACTTGCATTTAACAACCTTACGCTATGTTAGTTCTTTTGAAGACTATATTTTTTTTCTTCTCTCTCTCTCTCTCTGCATATATATATATGCTGTGTACGTATTTCATAACAATACATTCTGAATTTACATTCCCATTAACTGTTTTTAATTAACCATAAAAATTCGGCCTAAGCTAAGTCTAAAATGACAGAATTTATACAAAGAACTTCTTACCTGTTGTACCTTTGTGATAATTGTGTTCTATGAACATCTGTCGTTTACAAAGTGCTTCGTTATCAGTTAACGCGTACAGGCATAAGGTGCTTTGTTCTCATAGGAACTTTATCGAAATAGATTACGAAATTCAATGTCACAATGATTTATACTTAGAGGCTTTGCTTGAATTTTAATGTAATTAGATTATAAAATTTGTGATTGTTGATGAGCCTGAGAAACATGCGAGTTAACTTAATTGATACTTGATATCAGTTTTATTTTGTAGTTCGAATTCATTCATTGTTATGATCTTTTTAAAAGGTCACTTTGTTTTTAACAATAATCCTATTCTACATTTTGATAATGTTAATTATTATGTGTGTCATAAACGTTTATCAGCGGTTTAAAATTAATTAATTATACAATTAAAACTGTTCGTGTGTCTTTACGTTCTTGAAATACACAAAGAGTTTAATTTTAACTAGATGTCACAGTTCAACATTTTTCTTTGCTTCATAATGCACACAAGTTCACATGGAGTTTAATATTAATTAGGTGGCTTAATTTCGGGGTATTTAAGGGTGTGCGGGTTTTACCATTTTAGCTGATGTTTATCAACTGGATTGTGTAATTGCAGAATATTTATAATTAGCTGCATTTTAAGGATTTACTTGAAGGTTTACTTTAAAAACAATACAGTTACTTAAATTAATATATTTCTAAATTTGAATTTGTTAGAACAATTATATATTGTTTATGGGTATGCACATGTCAAAATTTTAAGTGATTTTCAAAATATTCGTAGTTATTTAGGTTGTGTAAGTTTAAAAGAGATGTAGTATTTATTAGTAGGATATTGCAAAGTTTCTATGATAACGTATGTAGTTGGATGTTTTTATTAACTGATCTCTGACCTTAGAAATGTAGAATAATGTGTAAGCTATAATAGCTTACTTAGGATGAAATATTTACTCGATTGTTTCAATTTGAAATAGCTCTTGGTAAAATGCACCTTTCAAAAGTTAACCAGTAAATTGATGTTAACTAGCTTGAAGAGTTCGAGGTCACTGACGATAATGCACATTAAGAAAATGTCGTGGCTATGTAGATTTTACAGTTTTTGTGTGTGGACTTAATATTAGTTGGATCGTATCATACGATACTTTTCACGATTACTTTCCTTTAGGTGTTTAATGTTAACTGGCTTGAACAAATCAATAATTTTTATTTGCATTTATGTTTTGGAGGATTACAAAGATCGTAATATTAACTAGCGCAATCTATGATTTTCCAGGTATACACGTTTAAAAAGTTTTCCTGTGGTTAACTAATAAAGGTCTTCATTGTTAAGATTGCAAACATATTAAGCAAAGAAACCAAGGTAAACAAACGAAAAATTTAAGAAGCTCTTCTAATACAAGAACTTAAACCCACATTGAAACAGTACCAAGGAGCACTTTTATATGTTATGCTAACTATTTCTTAATGTTAACTACCATTTAATAGATTAAATATTTACAACACCCCCTACAATCTTACACCTATCATTACTGTCGCCTCCACAACTCATGATCAATACACTAGGACATGATTTTCCTTATATGTCAAAGTCGTCGCGAGAACGAGGCTGAGCATTTTGACGAGTAAACAAAGCAGATTCTCTCCAGATTCTCCTTGTTCATTATATCCCCAAGTACAGCCATCACATCAGACAGTTAAATAAAGAGATCCACACACAATATAACTTATCAAACCTCACTTCTTTCAAAGGACATGTTCAATAGTGGACTTGTGTCTTTTAAGGGAAAATAAGTGGGATAACTACAGCCCTATGGGTGATAATAGAAGCTTTTTAGGCCTATTTTATATTCAAATGTTTAATAGTGGACTTTTGTTTTTAAGAGAAAATAATTGGGATAACTACAGCCCTATGGGCGCTAATAGAAGCTTTTTAGGCCTATTTTATATCCAACAACCAGCTTTATACTTTACATCTGGCTGTGTATGAACAAATCTATTTCATATAACTTCGAGCTGCCACTTCTCATTATATTGTGATACTTATTTTCAGAATATATTTACAATACCTAGAATTTAGAACAGGACAGGATAAAATACAGACATAGGAAAAGGGTTACTGCCTATGTAGGTGAGGATAAGGGTGTAAATTTGGTGTTTCTAGATTTTCAGAAAGCATTTGACAAGGTGCCACAGATGATTTATAAAAAGTTATCTCTTTGGGTGTGGGAGATAAGTTAGCTAATTGGATAGAAGAGTGGCTGGATGAAAAAAAAACAAACAAAGGGTTCTTATAAATGGAGTTCAGTCATACTGGATTAATGTCACAACTGGGATACCTCAGGGCTCAGTCTTAGAACCTTTGCTTTTTTATTTACATCAATGACATAATGAAGGAATGGTCAACAAATTACTTAAATTTGTAGATAATATTAAGGCCTTAGGTGTTTCTAGCTGTGAAGAGGATGTTGCTGCTTTACAAACGGAATTAGATCATTTAGTGAGTTGGGTGAATAAACGGCAGATGGATTTTAATTATAATATATGCAAGTAAAGCATATGGGTTATCATAATTTGAATTATAAGTACAATTTGGATGGAAATAACCTTAATACTGTCAAATGGTTTCTGAAAATTCATATACACCAAATTTACACCATTACCCTCATCTACA